GGGGGGGGGGGATTGGGGGTTCTTTCTTCCTTCTAATAACACTTGGAGGTTTTTTATATTCTACCAGAAGTCACGTTGGTCCAGAGCTGCCACCTCTGATCATCTCCCTGGCGTCTGGTCGCCGTGGACGCGGAGCACATGCTCGGAGTCCCAGGCCTTCAGAGACAGAAGGAAAAACCAGAGGATCCCTGGTGAGAGGCCGGTGCCTCCATCCCCTAATCGGGTCCAGCAGCTACAGAGTAAATTCACACGCGGGTTAATTAAGACCACTCTTTATTTTTCCCAATTTTGCCAAAAGACAAAACCACTGGTCTTCAGGCGGGTGGCTCCAGTGAGGAGTGACACCCAGGAAGCCAGGCCCTCAGGAGTCCATCTCCACTGGCCGCCTCATCCCCTACGTGCCCCAGGTGTCCTCTGCTCTGACTCAAGGTCATGACTCACTCGGTCCGCTTTTTCACTCAAGAAACACTTTCTGATACTGGTTCACACTTACCAAACACTTTTATGTACCAGGCTCTGTGCTAAGAACTTTATACCCATTGTGTCACAAAAAATTCCTCATGTCCCCATTTTACAGGTGAAGAACCGAGGTTAAGAAATTCACCCTAGGGGACATCTGTAATACTTTCAACAGTAAAGATAAATTTTTTAAAAAAAACAAAGAAACTCGCCCAGGGTCCCACTCACAGATGTGAGTCTGATTCCAAAGGCACACACTGAAAGGTTACACTCTGCTCCTTCCCAGGCGTTCAGGACACAGACCAGAACAAAACAATGCCAGGCCCGGAGGCCCCGGGGGAGACTGGCACCTTCTCGGCGGTTCCACAAGTGCACCAGGAGCTCTCTAATAAGCGCAGAAAAACCCCGGGGAGCTGTGTCATCACCAGCCACCGGAAGGTCTGCAAACACGGGCTGCCTCCTGGGAACGAGGGAGGCTGTACCATCTGAGATACTGACAGGCATCTGTGCCAGTCACACCGCTGAAAGCCAGACTGGCATCCTCAAACAAACTCCCCCCCCCGATTCCAGCTCGGGTTTGAGTCTCCCCAAATCTCAGGGACGGAAAGGGTGGCACATAGGCACTGGAGGAAAATGTCTGAACACCCTAAAATACCGACCTAGCCCATGCCTGAGGGCAATGAACCTCCTCTCCTTCGGGTTGCGCCCGAAGCCTCTGTCTCCCGGTGCCCATCACCTCCTGGGGCCGCCCAGCCTGTGACTTACGCCCGTTGGCAGGGGCATCCGTTTGCAATACCGACTCCTTTCTCAAAGTCCAAATATACCAAACCCAAAACGTAGCCTCTGGAGACACAGGAAATTAAGTGCCAACACACAAAAATGAAAGGGGACATAGGGAGTGAAAATGAAAAAAACCTACAGCCCTGGCAACGCAGCTCTCGGAGGCCGCAGCCAAACCACAGCTCCCGCCACTGCCAAGTGCAAACCCGGCTTGGCAAGCAGCTTGCTGTGCCCGGGACGCGCCACGAGGTGGCAGCACGGAGCGCCCTGGCGCGGGCACCGGGCACGGTGGCCCTGAGACGGGCAAGCCCGCTGAGCATTTGTCAGGGTCTCTGCGGAGGGAACCGATCTCTTCCCGATGGGGGCTCGGGGGCGGGCTGGAGACAGAAGATAACAGAGCACCCGGCGAGACTTTCCCGTTTGCTTTCCTCAGAGGAGCAGGGGGGAAGAAAGGGTTTTGAGATGCTTTGGTTCTATGTCGAGCCAATGTCCTGAAGATATTTTCTTCTGAGATTCTTCCAGGACCAACCCTATTACGGAATATGGAAAGTATTACCTGACCTTCCATTTACATTTTAAGATAATAATAAAAGAGAACTCTGGAGAGGAAAACACAGCAGCTACTACGGCGAGAGTGGTCAGGGAGGGAGAAGAGTCAGCCGGCAGACACCGTATTTTTAGACTGAAAAGGCATCACAAACTTCTTGAAATAAGAATGGAAACAAAAGTGCCCGGTGCCCTGCCTGCTGACCCCCCCACAGCCGCACTGGGAAGGTGGCGGGTGACAGGGGTCTCCTCTAGGAGATGGCATTAGGTCCCGTCGGTCCTCGTGCCATGAGAG